GCCAACAAGGTCTTCCAGGCGGAGCTCAAGAGCCCCGTCCTCTCATATGAGATCAGCTTTGGTGAGTTCCGTGAATCCCCCAATAGGCAGGGACAGCTCTGCGACCCTGCCCAGCAGGAAGCAGACACAGAAGAAAAGACCTCCTGTCCCTCAGCTTCTCATAGAGATTTTATGGGGATCACGTCTCTCAAGGGGAAAACTGGGCAGGCAGTTAGAGGCAGGCATTGGGTCTCTGCATTCCTGCATGTCCCACAGAATGTGACTGCCCAGGTGACCTCCACTCTGCACCCAAAACTCCCCTTTGTATTGTAATTATCTACCCCTGTGGGAAAACCAATGGGCACAAAATACCCAACTAGATCTGACCAGTCACTTGCACCTATGCAGTACCTCTTGTCAATCACAGGTGCCAATCAAGTGGCCCCACCACGCCCAAAGGGGAACAGCCCATTCTAGAGAAACAGGATAAAAACTCCAAGTCCTGGGAAGTCCGCCCTGCTCTTCTTGACCACTTCTTCTCTTTTTTGTGCCTTCCTTCCTTTTTGGGCCTTTTGAGCCTCGCCTTTGCACGTGGCCTGCTCCAAACTCTTTGAAATGTATTAGCTCTTCTAATAAACTACTTTTACTCCGGTATCTCATTCAATTCTTTGCTCGAGTTGCCAAGGACCTGGACTTTGCGCCAAGAAGGGCCCACTTTCCGACAACATATCTACTTCCTCTGGGCAGGGGTGTAGAGCTGTCCCTGACTATTTGGGGGATTCACAGAGCTCTCTCACCCTATCTGATCTCAGATGAGAGAAAGGAGTCTCGAGATCCTCCTGGGAAGACCATGTTGGCTTCTTTGGTTGTGACTGGCAATCTTGCTGGGGTGCCCTCTGTATCCCCAAGGCCCCTAAATGAGGAAAAAATAGATTTTAATTAGTAAATTTCTTAAAGAGCAGAGCTCAAAGCTATTGATACAGGGCTTGGAAAGAATATTAAGCTTTAATGTTTACAATCAACAAGTATAGTGGTCTGGGAAAATGTTAAAACCTATTTAGTCTCTGGGATGGGATTTTTCCAGAGTTAAGTCTGGAATGGCTTGGGGAATGTTAGGAAATCACAGGCTTTAAGGAGTTATCTAAAGCAGGGGTGGGTGAGAGATATTCTGTGATTCAGTCTAGGGGCAATCTTTAGTCTAGGATTCAGAAACTGATTAGAAGAGTAATCAAAGCCAGGGGCTAAGACACTAGGAAAGAGGAGACTTAAAAGTTGTCCAGTGGGGTGGGGGTGGGGGTAAGCGGGCTACTCGCTTGGCCCGCATCACCACCATGTGGCTCCCTACAGAGGCTCTCTAAGCACTGTTAGCACAAAAACGGCCCTGGGGAAAGGAGGGAGGCAGGAGGGGAGGGTGGCATAAGGCAGCAGAGGTAAGAGCCAGGCGAGAGGCAGTTAATTCACATGTGCCAAGCCCTGTGCCGGGTTTCACCTCCAGGACTCCACACTCAGCAGGCAGCTTCCAGGGCACAGATGACAGCACCTGGGGCACAGCCCCTGGTCTGACACTTTGGCACAGAGGCCTTGGGAACGAAGGGCTTATTCTGACCTCCACTCAGGTGTTATTCCCGAGATGCACACGAGATGGCAGCAGAGAGTGTTTCCCTTCCCACCCGCCTTAAAATGAGAACCCAGACCCCTGGGACTAAGCTCATTTTGAGATAAATCCTGTTTCAGGCCCTTCACAGGCCTCATCTCACCCACTGCTCCCATTTTCCAGGTGAGGCAGAGACAGTTATTATCTCCATTTCACAGGTATTTAGAACGAATACGGATTCTAACACAGTTCTTAGTCCAGAGCCGAGGCCGAAATGGGCCCACATGGGCCAGCAGAGCTTGCACACACGGGATCCTGGACAAACTGATCCAAATAGTCCTGCAGCATCGGATAGAATTATGGTCATTCTATTTGAAGAAAATCTGCACATAACCTCACAGTCCAGCTTGCCAGGCACTCCCCCAGGCTGGTTTTGGGGTGGGACTTGGGCTGGCAGTTGGGGATGGGGACAGGTGGGGAGGGAGCAGGTGGCCTAATGCTTCACAGGAGGACAAGCAGCACCAGATCCCTAGGACAAGGAGTTCCTCACCTCTGTACCCTTCCTGTCCTTGGGCCTTTTAAAAATCTCTTCTTTCTCAGCACAGAGCATGTCTCTGCTTCTGTCTATTTTCCCTTCCTCTTAGGTCACAACTAACAATCCCTAACAGAATTAGTAGAGATACTTACAACCTAGGTTGCTCATCTTTGGGAGATTAGCTTGCATTTGGAGATAAGCATAAAAGTTACATTGAAAAGACAGCTACATTTATATTAATCTGGAAATGAAAACTTGGATTGACAGGAATTTTAAGGGGGGAGGAGAAGGTATTAAGTTTCTTATTTAGGGAGTATATACTGATTAACCTTAACATATTCATAAAAATGTTAGTATAATTATTAAAACCATACTAACAGGCTGAATAATTTACCAGTCACTGTAGGAAAAAAGTAAAAAAGGTAACTACTGTACAAAATAAATTTTTACTATAAATATAGGTAGACTCTTATTTTTTTTAAATGAAATAGACAAGAACAATTTTTCAACAAGTATATAACAACTTTTCAACATATCCATAAAACAGTCAAATGCCTACTGGTAACATTTACTTCAATTTAAATATATGTATTTGACATCATAGCAGTAATTTTCCCAGGGTGACTCACCTAATAAGTGGCAGAAGCAGGATTCAAACTGACGCTACAGCGTGAGGTCTTAACTGCGAGAGACACTGCCTTTTCACCATCGCATGAACTCTAAAGATAATTCAAGACTCAGAAAATTGAATCTAATTGTCCTGAATAAGTTGCAAATTTGTACACCTCCTTCATCTTGATTTTCCATGAAGAATGGAAATACTTTAGACTGTGTCTCCTACTGCTGTTTTGTGTAGATATAAATTTTTTTTCTGAAGATGCATAAATAATATAATTTACCATTGCCAATTTTAATCAAAGGGGAACAGTACATTTTAATGCATAGACCAATGGAAACTTTGGGGATGAAGCCTGAAATAGTGTTTATTGACTGGAAATCTTCCATTGCAAACGACTTGAGTCACTGTATCCAGACCTCATGTTGCAGGAGGACTAATCCAGCATGATTGACACCACTTCCAGCAACAACTCAGGAGACCACCAACCCAACGCTCACTCTCTCCTTTTCTCTCAATTTATAAATCTACTTTAATGTAATAGAGCAAAATACGTTTTTCAGCTTCTCAGTCTGTACTTTCTACAAGTACCAACCTGTCATTCTGTTTTCCATTAAAATCATCGGACTGTTCTTAGAAATCAATCAATCTCTCTGTCTCTCTCCCTGTGATACAAGTTTAATAGTAAATTATACCTCCACAAGAGTAATATCTCATAACATCACCACAGCCTAGAAAACAGTCTGGCATATAATACATAGGGTGCCAAAAAAATGTCTACACATTTTAAGGAAAAAATCTATTAAAACTGTAATACTCAATGTATACTGTTACATAACAAAAGATGAACACAAGTCACATTTGACTTCTGTGATTACAAGAGGTGCTCAAAGTGGTTCCCATCAGCATCCAGACACTTCTGATTATGGATAACTATTGCTTGAGCAACGTTGATCAAAGTGTCCACTTGTAGACATTTTTTTGGCACCCCCCCCCGGGGTAGATTAAAAAAATGTGTTGAGTAAATGAAAACATCGAAGATTAAAAATCTGTAAAAGGCTATAGAAAGTGTATTTAGGGGGTATAACACTATAAATGTACAAGAGCAAAATAAATCCTGAACAACAGTTAATAAGCAGTCTTGGCCATTCAAACTTCAGGATTTTAAATGCTGTGTTGCACAGAACCCGGCAGGACTCTATCTTCTGTAAACATCACTTTCTATCAGCAAATCCATGACCAGGCATAGAGGGTACTCTGCCTCCTCTCTATTATGCCTTTCCTGTTGGATTCTTGGTATCCCAATACTTTTATTCCTAAATCCTTTCAGAAATTGTTTGGTGGTGGTTGTGACTGTGGTGCAGAAGGGTAAAATTAATTTGGAATAGTAAGTTATAAAAGGCAATAAAATGGGAATCAGAATACTTATAGTCCAAGTATAAATCTACCACCAATAAGCTTTGAGATTCTAAAGACTGCCCGCTCCCCACCCCAATTACCTGGCCGTTTATCCTTCCAAATAAAAAAAGATAAAGTTTATTAGCTTTTATTAAGAAAGAAAAAGGAGAATGTTTTCAGCTCTTTAATGAAACCTGGGTTAGGTTTCTGTTCCACTAGATCCATTGTCATATTTTAAATAAACACTCCTCAGTTGTTGCAATTGCACACACTTTACTAAAAATCCTATTTACTTGGCAATGAATACACTATATTGACCCAGAATCAGAACCTCAGAGAATTAGACACAAACAAAAATGGCCTTAAAAATTCCTAGGACTGGCCGAGTGGCTCAGTTGGTTAAGAGATTGCTCAAAAGTGTGACCTCTGAGCAACAGCGTCGCCGGTTCAATTCCCACATAGGCCAGTGAGCTGCCCATGAGCTGAGCTGCCACTGAGCTGCCAAAAGGTGGCAGGATGGCTCAGCTGCTAAGAGCACATGCTCCTAACAACAAGGTTGACTGTTCAAGATGGTGGCTATGCCCGCTGGCAACTCAAGACTGAACTCGGCACCTTGAGCTGAGCTGATGCCCGGATGGCTCACTGTATAGAGTGTGCGCTCTTAACAAGGCTGCTGGGTGGACTTGCACATGGGATGGTGGCTACGCCCACTCGCAACTAATTGAACACAGCACCTTGGGCTGAGCAGCATGACTGGACTTGGACCTGAGCTTGCTGTGCCTCCACAGCTGAGATTGAAGAACCACAACTTGTCTGTTCCCCTCCCCCAATTCCCCAACACTGTTCCCCTCCCCCAATTCCCCAACACTGTTCCCCTCCCCCAATTCCCCAATAAAATCGTTAAAAAAACAACAAAAGAAATTCCTAGAAATGTAGACATCAGATTTTCTGAGAAACGAAGGCCAATGCACTGGTCTATTTAATAAACGTTTGTAGCACCTACATGCAAGGCACAATGGGGGGCGTGGAGGGGGAGACGTCACTAATCCATCACTGGTGAGGGGTTCATACAGGAAAATAAGGGGTCAGAGAACACCCCGCATCAGACATCTACCCAGGATCTGTCGTAAAGTGATGGCTGGGGGTGGTGAGCCAGTCTGGAAGCCCTTGAAGTCCAGCAGGTGAGAGCAAACCATTTCAGGTCCCGCCTCTTCCAGACAACCCTGCCATAGACGCCTTTCCAACACGTTTTTCTTTAGTCACCTGCTAGAATGTAGACGCTAATTCATCTCAGCCACGCGCTGCATTTTCCCTCATACAGCTGACGGTGTGCAGTGGGAAATACAGCCCCAGCCCAGTTTCTGTAGTCAGGAGGGCTCCAGGGTGGCTTCAGTTCAACTTTGGCACGAAAGACACGGGTCACCGAGACAGAATAGTTTTCCCAACGTGGCTCCTCCGATGTTGAACAAGGTATGAAGTCCGGGTGAAGCCTTTTCCACATGCATCACACGGATAGGGCTTCTCCCCGGTGTGCACTTTTTGATGCTCAAGGAGGCTTCTGCTCCTAGTGAAACTCCTCTCACACTCATCACATCGATAAGACTCGGGAGCCTCAACATCCCCCTCGCGGCTCTCCGGCTTGCCCTGACTCTCCCAGCTCTGCCCGTGTTCTGCATCCTGAACGCTTTTATCGCTATGGATCCGCCGATGTCTCAGGAGATGGGAATTCCGCCTAAACGCTTTGCCACAAAAGTCGCACTGGTATGGCTTCTCCCCAGTGTGGATTCTGTGATGCTCAAGGAGGCTGCAGCTCTGGCTGAAGGTCTTCCCACACTCATCACACTCGTAGGGCTTCTCCCCAGTGTGAGTTCTCTGGTGCTTGGTGAGGTCTGAGCTCTGACTGAAGGCCTTCCCACATTTGTCGCACTCATAGGGCTTCTCCCCAGTGTGGACTCTCTGATGAATGATGAGAGCGGAGCTCCCAATGAAGGACTTGCCGCAGTCCTCACACTCATAGGGCTTCTCCCCGGTGTGGATTCTCCTGTGCTTCGTCAGGCCTGAACTCTGAGCAAAGCTCTTCCCACATTCATGGCAAATGTGGCGCCTCCTCCCAGGGGTGGTTTTCTGCTTTCTGTGTAACCTGCCCTGCTGCTCACCAGCTTCTGCACCAGCAGGGATCTGGGCGGCGGCTTCACCCAGGTGGCACTGCCCAGGCTCCTCTTCTGGAAGCTTCTCATCAGGAGGCCAGTCCCTGATCTTAGTCTGTATTTCAACACCTGAAACAACAAATGACGAGCAGCTGTCAATTATGCCCTGCCACGGAGGAAAGCGCTCTCATGAGTCCCAGGGAGGCGAGAATTACGGAAGTCTGTATAAGCCGCACGTGAGGATTTAAATACAGGAATCAGGATGCAAATAAACAGGGACGGATGCTGGGAGAAGGGTACAGACTGAGACTGGAGGGAGGGGGTGTCGACTGTGCTGGGGACACATGCAGAGGCTCTAAGTTCTAAGGACAGGGAGGCAGGACCATGCACCGAGGGCGGAATGGTAAATGGGCCGGACAGAAGGCAGTAGGAGGCGCGGTGAGGAAAAGGGCTTCTGAAACGTTCTGTAGAAACACAGTGGCAACTCAGAGATTAGTCACTGAGCATTGAAAAGCACAGTCATCTCTGCCCTATACCCAGGCAGAGGCACGGTCCCCAGACAGAACTGGCTTCATTGCTGAGAGACCTTTGTCGGAGCCCCCACCGTGCCCCCAACAAGCTGTGTGAACTGAGAAGCCAGGCCATCTGGGGGCCTGTGGAGTCTCTGCTCCAAGGTCAGGCTCCATCGTCAGTCTCCAAGTCACTGCTAGCTCTCCCACTGTATGGTCTCCTGGCCCATGACCTGAAGAGACCCCTCAACTCTCCTCTGTCAGGGCTAGCAACGTTGACCGAGCACCTGCGATGAACCAGACCTGTGCTAGGCGTTGTGCCGAGTCCTCCCGCTTAGCCTGACCTGAACTCCAGCAGAGCAGGGAGGAAAGCAAGGGTCAGGAAGATCATCTGTAACAGGCTTCTGAATCCAAACCGTGGCTTCTAACAGCCCAGCAGGTTCTCAGACACAAAGGAAGCCAGGAAACCTTACACGCAATCAGTGCCCATCGCTCTTACCCGGGGAGGTCGGGGGGCCACCGTCCTCCTGCCTTTCATCTCTGTACGAGTTCACCTGAGATGAAGCCAGCTCTGTCCATCCAGGGGAGACGGTCAGAGCCACATCTTCCATTTTCAGCAGCCCCTGAAACAACAGGGAATCCCACCTAGTTCCTCTGTCCCAAAATCGCTCCCAAAGCTGGCACATGCAAAGAGTGAAAATCCCCTTAAAGGGGCCCTGTGAAAAAGAGCGCCTGTGGTACCCTTTCATCTACTGAAATGATCTCTAATCACATCTCTGTCAACAAAACGGCCATTAAAGGAAAGAACGATTACACACGTTGGGGTAAGTACTTCATTTACTACCTAAACAGTCCAGAAAGTGAAAAGCTTTGGAAAATAAACGCCAACACAGTGAAAAACATGAAACCAAATGCAAACCTTTCAGAAGACTTGTGGTGTGCTGGGGCAAAGTGGGGGTGGGGCTTGTTTACATTGATCATTTTGAGAATACAATGAAATCGAGGGCTGAGGGGAGAAAAAGCAGGAAAGAAAATGGACACTGCAGGGCCTCAAACACTATCTTCCAGGTCCTGAAGAATTAAGGAGCAAATTAAGCCGAGTGGAAGCAAAGATGGTTCAGACGGTATTCTGAGTTTAGAGCAAAGAACATGCCTTATCTGTCCCTTCAGGTTTAAGCTCCTTGAAGGCACAGGCCATGGGTTTCTAATCCCTCACTAACAGGATGCTTTTTAGAAACTTTAAAAAACGAAACCAAACAACATCACTGTCACAAGAAAATCCTCAGTTTGATTTGCTAAATCGTCCTTCTGGAAGAAGAAAATCCCTTTGCAGAAGGGGCTGACCAAAGCGATAGAATAGGGAAGATCTGGGGAGCACAG